ACCGAGACTAACATTTCTAGATTTTGAAGAAAATTCAGGGTAATTAGCATCAAATGACTTCCATGCCTCACCATCCCTTGGATGTCTAAGTAATCCATCTGGATCATGCTCATCTGCATGCCATCTCATACACTCTGCCGTCTTTGAAGAAATAAATAATCTTTGCAATCTAGGTTTGAGCGGGAAATAGCGTAAAATTTTGGCAGGAATGTTTCTTTTCTTCTTACTATCACTAGCAGTATTTGTACTTATCACTCTCTTATTTTCCTTCCACCTAGAGGTTTTACAAGTCTTACAACTCTCACGGTTGGCATCATCACCTCAATATAGCATACAATCATTTGGGCATGCATGAATTTTTTGGTAATCTAAACCTAGCCTCTTTATGGTCTTTTTTGCTTCGTAAACTGATTTAGGAATATTTGCATTCTGAAATGCATCAGCCAACAACTCCAGCCAACAACTCCACGATCATGCCCAGGGCTTTATCAGTTACATCACACAAGCATTTAATGTGATAAAGTTTAAGCAAGAAAGAAAGCTTAGTATATTCCGTGCATCCTTCATACAACGGTTGTTTCCAATCCATTATTAAGGGTTGGTTTGCAAGTACTTTTAAAAAAGCACTTCTCAGCTTTTGGCTTTAAAAAAACACTTATTTTCCCAAACACTACAACTTTTATTTTTCTCGGCTTCCGCGTCAAAAGTGCTTTTACTTTTTCTATTACACAAAAAGTACTTATTTTACCAAACACTACCCACTTTTACTTTTCAAAATCACTTTTTTTCTCAAACACTATCAACTTTTATTTAATCACTTCTCCCCATTACATTAAAAAAAGCACTTTTTTAAAAGCAGAACCTGTTGCAAACAGACCCTAACTCTTGAAACTTGTCAAAATCAGTTTTATTATAAGCTTCATCCTCAAAGTGACCACCATTGGGTTCACTAGTTCTCATTTCATCCATTACTTGATTTTCAAAACCCACACGAAAGTCATGCAACATTTCTTGTATAGATTCGTCTACTTGGTGAACTTGTGGCGTTTGATTAACATTAGTAGTATTTTCTGCTACATCTTCCCCATGCCTAACTCATGATGTGTATCCCAACGGGAACCCCTTAATTATTAAGTGCTCAAACACGTCATCTCTAGTTAACCACTTCCTGAATCCACATGAAGTACAAGGGCATTTTATCTGATCTCTAACACTTGATCTAGTAAAAGAAAAATCTAGAAAGGCATTGACTCCAACAGTGTATGATTGGTGAGTTCTTGGCATTCCGATCCATGACTTATCAAGCATTGTAAAAACTGCGTATTATGAATAAATATATCTTAAATTTAAACACATGGTGATAATGATTGAAAGATTTATATCACTCCAAAGCTAAAGCAATATGGATACACAACACACATTTGAAAGTAATGAAAAATATTATGTATTAACTTACTGGAAAGTGGAAGTGGGTAGCGATGTGGTAACTTGATTGTTTAACGTAGATCCTCCTTGGTCTTTAGTATTGTACTGATAGTTGTCTTGTATGGTCTTACTCCTGAGTTCTGCAAGTCCATATAAATGGTAGTTTCCTTTTAGAAAGATATGATATACATATTCCCACCATACACTTGTATATTTTGCAGATTTCTATGTGTAGAGCTTTTTTTAAGAAAGAAGCCAATGGGTTTAAGAGCACAAGACTTGAGTTTAAAACATTTTGCAAAAACTGTCACAGTTTTTTCTCTGCAAGACCATCTCTTGGGTATTATGCAGCACATGAGACTTGAGAATAGAAATACAGTAGAAAAGAAACATGAAAACAAGGACCCAGACTATACATTGCCTTAATAACAAAATCGCTTATATGCATATTATCACAGTGATGTGTGATTGAGGCGCTATAAATCAAATCATAGCCTACTACCGTAGTACTTGCATTAGATCAATCCCACAGCAAAAATATCTCTCCCTCTTGGACCCAGTTCCTCCTCAACCTCAAACGCATTTAATTTTTTTTTATACCAGTTCTGTCAAGGGGCTGCACGCATATGCTCCTGCTTAGTTATGTATCCTTACAGACTGTTCAAAAGTTTGACGCTTGTGGCTAGGTGAACTAACTCTTTTTCAAATTTCTTATATATCCATAATCTCTATTCATAGTGTGTGTGGATCGGGCTAAGTATTTCATATATACCTATGTGTTTAGACCTATTCTAAAAGCCTATCAATGCGTTAGAGTATATTTCATCGCTATGCCTTAACCTTTGAAGCAGTTCAACTCATTTCAGCAGCCTGCTCCTAAAGGATTTGGCAGTCAGCTCCTAAAGAATTTGGCAGCCTGCTCCTTGAGTCAGCTGATTCTGGAAAACACATTTGAACCTTGTTTCATCCCTCTCCTCACAACTAAATGAGTCATAACCTTTGTTTCTATAAAGTGTCACACTCTTGAGGTCAAGACTTCCGCTGTAGGTTTCAACATCTCCTAAAAGATGTTGGAACTCATTAAGTTAGAGGAAAAAGGGTTGAAAAATGAAAAGATTCAAAAGTCTATGAGTTCCAACATGTTCAAATCATTCTGTCAGAACTCATTCTGGAAGACTTTGTGTTCAAATCCAGAAGATGAGAAAGGGCAAGGACATTATTAAAAATGTCATGAGTTAAAAATGAACTGACACCGAAAAGCATTTCTTAAAATTATTAAGTTTGCAGAAATTATGTAAATGACCCCGTTTATGTTTATAACGTCGGTTCTTTTTCTAACCGTTATGAATAATATTTTTATATTTATAGTTTTTACCCATTGAACTTACTTGAACTTTCATTATTTATAAATATGACCCCGCGTGTACATATTGTAACGGTCTTTATTGAACCCATATTAAAACTTAGTTATAGAATGAATATTTTGCACTAGTGGGCCAAGGATAATTGTAATGGGATATTGAGATTAGCAATCAGTGACGGACTTAAGCATCAGAGCTCAGGGTACGCACAAATATATATATATATATATATATATATATATATATATATATATATATATATATATATATATATATATATATATATATATATATATATATATATATATATATATATATATAGAAAAGATCTTGTCCAGACGTCCGGACAGGAGCCGCCGTCCGGCCGGCGGCGTTTGGCCGCCTTCCCGGTGGAATTTTTTGATGAAATTTTTATGGCATGTTCTCCATCAAGTCTAGTTTATCCACAAAAAAATTCAGCCAAAAACTCAATCGGGAAGGTCGTCAAATGATTTTTTCAAGTTAACTGGTCCGGAATATGTATTTTCCGGACCAGTTAACTTGCAAAAATCATTTGACGACCTTCCCGATTGAGTTTTTGGCTGAATTTTTGTGTGGATAAACTAGACTTGATGGAGAACATGCCATAAAAATTTCATCAAAAAATTCCACCGGGAAGGCGGCCAAACGCCGCCGGCCGGACGGCGGCTCCTGTCCGGACGTCTGGACAGGAGCATTCCTCTATATATATATATATATATATATATATATATATATATATATATATATATATATATATATATATATGTATAGCTCAGGGTATAAAACAATAACGACACAACACTACTCACAACACGACCCAACTTCATTAGTATTAGACACTACAAAACCGTTGGAATAGATATATAAACCGTTGGAATAGACATCATTTGACTATACGAACAAAATTATATGTTATTCTGATGAAAGTTTCAACGTTAGTATATGTTCCGTAGGTATAGACAACACTAACATATTTTCTTATTGTTGGAATAGCTCATCAAACATGGATGCCATTGTAAATTGTGAGCAAGATTGTATGGCATCGTAAACAAATGAAAATGTCCAGAATTCCTCTATAGAAGCATTGGATTTCGCTAATTCGCTCAAATTAATTTCAAAAAAACTCACCTGTGGTATAAAGCAGCTTCCTTGGAGCATGGAATTTGCAAAAGCAAATCTAGTTAACTACTTCCTTGGAGCTTCCTAGTATGAGTTTATATATTACAGAGTATTACCTTATCAAATATTTGTCTATGAGATTATGTACTAATGAACAAAAGTTAACTACGGACTAAGTATAAACGACAAGCTTTTCATACCACTTTGTTTGCTTGCCAACACTGACATGTACTGCACGCCTTGACCACTCATACTAATCCCATTCACTGGTATAACCATCATAGTGAAAAGGCATAATCCGAAAATCCTCTGAGAACTAAAAACATCATTGCATAATATCAAAATTAGATACATAAAAATCCAAGAGTGGACAAATTAAACAAGGTCTTAATATAATTCCTTAATTATTATAACCTTTTTAATTGACGCATCAATATAGTTTTTTGTACCAGATCAACTATTTACTCTCCTGCCAATTTCAGATATCTATATATATGTGTGCATATCCTGGACTCTGATGCATGGGTCCGCCATTGCGGTCGTGACCCTGCAAAAGTCTAGTGTGTCGGTGGAGTGAGCGGACAAAAGGCTACCTGTCAGCGTTCAGTAATCGTCCGTTAGTGATTGGATGGACTCATTAGAATTAAACTTGGAATTGAATTACGAAATGGTTGTCACGCGAAGGGCGTGTGACGTGTCCGACAGCCGGACCCACCGTTTTACTCTAGCTTGTCTAATATTCCTTGAAATGGGCTGCCTCAATACTACTATTACCATTGGTTAGGCCTTCAATATTTAGGGGCATGTGCCATCGGGCTGGGTACCCCTACTATGGGCTGGTCCTGAGCAGCAACCAAAACCACATTATTACACAAGTACAAGTAAGATCAGATCAGATCTTCTTTGATTCGATATTTCTATATATCATGCTTGGCAACCCATGCATTCATGACACTTGGAAAAATATGCTCCTTCTCATGCAATGTTGTTGGCCATACGGGATACAGCTTTATCATCATTTAAGCTAGTAATCGAAACGTGCAAGATGCCATAATATATTCTCTTCTTAACAGTAAACAAACAATCAATGATCCTTGCGTAAATTTGTTGTATAAACGAACTCCAAACTTCTGAATAAAAGGAGGTGATATCTCTATTGTATACACATTCAAACCACACACTAGCTTAGCAGTCTAGCCACTTAACTAGCAAGTAACTTACAGTACGAAGTATGGAGGAGGTCCAGGAGGAGGATGCAAAAACGAAAAACAATGAGCAAAACAATGAGCAGCAAACTGAGGGGGAGAGTAGTGATTCACCGCCGCCACCAACAGATTCACCATCCCCCTCATCAGTTACTGACCTGTGTGTTACTGATGTACCTGATGAGCATTACTCAGAAGCATATTCTAAGGCATACTTTGACGATCTTTTTGGTCCAGCCTCCACGGTATGTTAGTTGTATATACTAAGTTTGTGTTTCATGACTTTGATCCTAAAAGGTTAGAGTAGAGGCATATGTTATTATAGGTAAAACATAATACGTATCAATAGGTATCATATTAAAAAATGAAGCAGTTAATAAAGAGGGGTTTCTTTATATATGAGTAGATTGAAGCTGATTTTCAAAACTGTGATTACTTTTACATATGAATAAATACGTAGTATATAATTAAGAAAGTCATATAATTGGAAAAACATAATGTCACTGTTAAACTTTTATGTAATTACCAGATTTTCATATATGTCAGTTCTAGATTTACGGGTACACTACCTTTGTGAAACATGTCACCATGACCGCCGGAACGTTTTCCGGTGAATTTAAAAAAAATTAAATGAAAACCGAATTGAAATCATCAAATTTCCGACAACTTTTCTGGAAGCGGTTTCCAGTGGTGATTCCATTAGCATCTGGGAAGGTGTAAGGAGAGGGGGGCTGGGGTAGAAATTGAATATACTTCGGATTAAAAATTGGATTAATTAAATAAAAGGTCAGTCATATTTTATATAAAAAAAAAGTAAAGACTTTTTTGTATTTTATAAAACTATAGGTAATATTTGTGTCCTTTTCGGATTATTCATGAATACATAATCCTAAAACAAATAAGGTCACATACTATAAACAGAGTGCACAATTAGTTTATTAAAAGAAATAATAGTCCCTCCGTTGCCAGATTATCCTTAAAAATGGGTTTTGCAAGGAATTAAGAACACTTCACTACAAACTACTCAACGGACACCTTGAAGCCTAATCAAATCAAAAGGAAGATATTGCCCCATAAAGCACCCACCATATGTTTGCTTCACACCAATACACCATGGTCATAGCAACAAAACACCCCTAGAGTCCCGACTAATACTACCTCCGTCCCATAAAATTCTTCTCACTTACCATTTTGGACGTCCCAAAAAATTCTTCTTGTTTCCCTTGTCGGAAAGGTTTGTGTGACTATCATTCATTTACCTTTTTCTTACTCAACCACAATCATACATTTCCGTTTTATTCCCACTTTCTTAAACTCCGATCAAAGTCAAACTGGGAAGAATTTTCTGGGACGGGGGAGTAAAACCAAAAACAACACAAATGTAACCAAAACTAAAAGCATGAAAATAAAGCTAAAAACAAAATAAATACAGTTGAGCACTTGCTAAAAACAAAATAAAGCTAAGCGCCTAAGCCTATTGTCTAGAGCTCACTCCAATCTCATTTTTTCCGTCACTAATTTCAACCTCCATCATTGTATGTGTTGCGCTTGATGTTTCCACCCGGCGCTGCTTTTGCTCAGCTACTTGTACAACTTCGTTCTGATTCCCCGATCCTTAGCCTCACCTACAAAAATATCAGCATGTGAATCCACTACTTGTTTGGTTTCTCTTCCTATCAGAAGTCACTTATTTTCCCCCACTTCCACTGTCATCTGCGTTGATATTGGGATATAATTCTGCATATATAGTCCGTACATAGTTGAACTATATATATACGGAGACACGGAGTACAAGCTAAGGTTTCAACCAATTCAATAAGGCCTATTTTTCTTCAAAATTTCCTTTTGTACACGTTTTTATATCCATCAGTACACGCTTGTGTCTGTGAGAGTATTTTTTTGTCTGTGAAGTGCGGTCCACAGACATAAGTTGGCTTGTTTTGTCTGTGAAATTTTCCACAGACAAAACAAGCTAGCTTTTGTCTGTGGACTGCGCTTCACAGACAAAAAATAACTCTTACAGACACATGCGTGTACTGGTGGGTATAAAAACGTGTACACCAAGAATTTCTCATTTTTCTTTTAGCACACTAAACCGTACCATAATAGTTGAGCCACGCCGTATCTGGTCGGTCACTTAAGATCGTTACGTAATTATGTTCATTGTGTATGGTTAGGGACTGTGGAATTACATTGGCCCGGGAGGGATATACGCCAACAATGCCAGAAGTAGAGTCCCACCAGGTATGCGTACTTGAAAGTTCTAGCACTACTTACGTCAGGAATTTTATCAATTCAGGACCCGAAAGATAGATTAATTATCAATTCAGGACCCGAAAGATGAAACGTATCGGTATAGGACCCGAATGATGGACAACTATCAATTTAGCACCTAATATTTCATAGGTTTTGATTTATTTAATTTTTTATTAAATCCATTACTAATTTTTGATAAACTTTTCTTCACAAAAGTTTATTAGTTTAATAAAACTAATTAATATTTAATTTTTTTTAAAATAATAATAATAATAATAATAAAATTCATGACAACTTAGGTCCTAGATTGATAGTTTCCAATCATTCAGGTCCTAAATTGATAGTTTTTCATCATTCGGGTCCTATATTGATACGTTTCATCTTTCGGGTCCTGAATTGATAATTAATCTATCTTTCGGGTCCTGAATTGATAAAATTCCCTTACATTATGAAGAAAGAGTCGTGCTTGGGGTACTCCAATTTATACCCTACCGTCTGCGTACACAGACATTTAGACAGAAAGTCCTGCTCTCTTTCAAACGAATTGCCTGTGTACACAAGCAATTCAGGGGTGGGTACAAAATGGGGTACATTTTGGAGTACCTATGGAATTTTTTATGCAAAAAAGGGGTGGAAAAGAAGGGTGCGGGCAATGACGTTTTTATGTTTAGATGATATGCCAAGAACAAAAAAGAGTATACTACTACGTAATAAAGATCAGTCTCACCCAAAAAAAAAGATCCGTCATTTTGACTTTTCTTGGTCAATCGGGTTCTTGTTTAACCATTTATATTTTTAATATAAAATCATTTAAAATATGAAAATTATATGAACATATACTAGTACTGCGTATTATTTATTAAAAAATCTTTCATAAAAGTATAAATTTATAAATTACACAGAATTATAATATCTGAAGTCACTGTCTAAACTTTAACCTCACTGATTAAGAAAAGTCAAATTAACCAAACTTTTTGGGACAGAAGTAGTATTTATTTATTTATTTATACAATAATACTCCCTCCGCTTCAATTTCTTTGACACACTTTCCTTTTTGGGATGTTTCAAAATGAATGTCACACTTCCTTATTTTCTTATTTGGTAAACATAAATATATGTCAAAACAATGCAAAACAGTGTCAAACAATGCCAAAACAGAGTACTCTACGGGAATGTTTAATTGTTTACCCCTCAGTAAATTCTTTTCCTTTTGATCGTCAAAATAGATGACTTAAATTGCTATTAAAGCATTCAGAAAGCGTATAACGACAAAAAGACCATAGGCAACCACCGCCAGCCCTCGAACCAGACTTAGAGTCAATCACCTTAAAAAAAGCATTATAACTCGTTAATCCTAACATGAACATAAATGATCCAACGATGGTTAAAGCAGACCTCCCATCACCCAATCCAAATGCAAGATTATTACACCAATAAAAATAACTAACAGAAAAATAAACAAACTGATCATGAAAAATAAAAAGCAAGCAAACAGTAAAATTAAAAAACTACTTCCAAATCCTAACTTCTCTGGCACTCCATGGCGGCAGTTCAGGAGGGGGACGGTCAAACAGTACTATAGCTTCTTTTGCTCCTTGCCTCCAGTCTAGATCTGTTCTAGCACCTAGCCCCACGCTTCATCCATGCCCTTCTGATCTCAACCATAAACGACATCCTCGAAACTCTCCACATGCTGCTAGGGTACACAACCTTTGGCTGCCATATAGGCGTTGCAGTCTGCCGAAGAAGAGAGTCTCACGAAAGGCGGACGAAAGCCGCACAAGAAAGTCGCACTTCGTCAAAGACGAAAGCAGAGAAAACAACCCCTAAACCTATGGGAGACGACCGCTGCTTGCTTTGCCTCCCTAAACCTAGGGGAGACGACCGCTGCTTTCTTTGCTTGTGCCGCCGAAACTTCGATCGGCACTTCAAACCCCACGGCGGCAAAAGCTACTCGCAATATACGAGAACCCCATTAAATTTTTTTCTTTAATCTTTGTGAAATCAAACTGTGTCTTCCAAATTGAAAAGGAGGGAGTAATATTAATAATAATGGAAGGAGTTGCCTTTATACATTATTAATTCCCATATTTTTAGGAAGTCCATTTAAAATGCCACTTACATGTCCTAAACTGTTACACAGAATCTGATCAACTAATAATACACTAATAAAATAAACATGCAATTCCTCCAAAGCAAATACATTCGTTAATTTTTGGATGGCACTAATGGAATTACAATTAATAAAAACAATACATAGATAGGCATGACTATGTGGGAATAAACATGAATGTCATAATGATGGTATTTTTTTTCTATTTCATATTTATCATAGTGATAATTATCCTAGATATTTCGCCAAAAAAATTATCTTATATATGAGTAAAACTCATTCAGTTTTCTAATATATAAATTTATTAGTTTTTTCCCAAAATAATACTTAAATCCATAGTACGTAATATTTAATTAATAATAAATAAATAAATAAATTTTATGGACTCATATGCCCTTAATTGTTATTATAAAACCCGAAAACTTCCTACACATTTTCTCAAAACCCTAGTCACCAGCCAATGCCTCGCCGCCTCGGCATCACCAGCCCCCGTCGTCGCGGCATCTGTGCAGTGATTATTACCGGATGTGCAGTAATGTCGTGCAATAATGACAATATAAAGTGCGTGCAATAAATGTAATTGAACGAAATTAGTGCAAAGTGCACATATTTTAAATAAGGGTATTTTCGTCATTCAACATTTAGATATAAACCTTTTTTTTTAAATTTTCGGTCATACAAATGTCTATAAACTAAGTTAATCATATTTAAGGAAACTCAATAGGTTCTAGTCATACTATATGGGAATGCAGATAGCGAGATAATCGTAACATGATCAAAATTATGAGTTGACAATGCAAGAGAATGACTTATAGATTTGGGAAAAGTACGAAAAATGTAATTGTGGTTAGTACCGTTTTTATATAGGGTCATGTGTTTCATTTTTTATCAAAGCGGTTTCATTTTTTAGATAGGTCCGTTATCACAAGAGGATCACGCCATTAAAAACGTCTGAAAAAAACCGTTAAAAGTAACTCCGATTTTCAAAAGTGTCCGAAAAACTAAAAAAAAAATTTGGAAGGAGCGCCTCAATAAGAAAAAATCATTACAATGCAAGAGAATGACTTATAATTTTTTATTACTCCTATAATATTATGAGAGTATATGGAATACATCAACATGCTCATTTATCACGTTAGTGTCAGTGTTCTAAAACACTCCAAAAGGCAGCGCATAAGCGAGAATAGGCGCAAGGCGTATTAAAAACGCCTCGCATACCTACTATGCGTGCCAAAAGGCGGCCCAAACAAAAAAAACAATTAAAATTCGACTATGGAGCTAATATTAGGCCTGCGGTAAAGTTGAAAACCCATTCAATTAGCCCTACCCTAGAAAGTTGTCATGTGGAGCATTATATAACCGAAGTGCATGGACGAATCCATCCATTGTTCCGGTGTGGGAAATGTGAACAAAAGGAAAAGAAGCCTTGGCCTTATACTTTGCACAAAAATTGTTGTACCTATTATTATAGTTATTATTATAATTATTATTATAATTATTATTCTAACTTTGTATTATTTTACTACGTATTGTATTGGTATTATTACAAGTTTTATTATCAGACTTTTTTCTAAATCCAGTTTTTTATAATTAAGGATGTACTTCAATAATTTTTTGTAAAAGTTAAAAACTCTAATAATAATAATATGGTGAGCCTAATAATATTGTTATTATTATAATTAATGTTACTATTAGTGTTACTGCTAATTAGAGTATCATTATTCTTAATATCACTATTTGTATAAGGAGGTTTTTATTTGGACTATAACTTGCTGGTCTGGTCTAGTCTGGTTTGATCTATTTAGATTTGTTCTAGTCTAACCTGATATGGAACTGAAAACAGTCCAAGTAAAAACATCCTAAGTGTCGTTACTATTATTATAACTATCATTATTTTTGTTATTGTTATAATTATTATTATAACTATTATACTACCATTCAATTACTCTTTCCAATTCTAGTTTCATATTGAGTGATAGGTAAATTTATATTTTGTGGAGTACAAAACTATTTTTTGGGGAGTTCAGAAAAATTGTTGATCTTATTATATGATACTACTGGGTACTACGTATTATTTAATATTAAATTGACATACTTAAAATTTTTGGTCTCAAGTCACATTTTTATGTAATGTCCTTATCTTAATTATATATTAGGTATTATTTTTTATGTAATGTACTTATTTACATTTTTATGTATTTTTTTTGTTGAAAATGATAAAACTATGATGTTTTTCAAAAACATTATATAAATGTTTAAAATAGCTCTAGGAAATCTAAAATAAATGATAAAAACATCAAAACGCATTTTCACGTCTAAACCCGCCTAGGCTCCAAAGGCTTAAGGCTCGGTCGTGCCGCTTCGGCACGCTTTAAGCCTCTTAGAACATTGGTTAGTGTACACTTCAATGCGCACGTCATGATCCATTTAATTTTTCCTAATATTATGGATTTAAACAAATTTCCAGATCAAAGCGGCATGAGTGGGGAGACAAAGATTTTGATGCCTCGGATTAGTGAAGGAGATGAATGGCCTACCAATTTCACTACATCAATATTTTATGGAGCTCAGGATGTGGTTGATATCGCCCCGTCTAATCATGTATCTTTCAATCTTTGAACTATCCAACTTTTTATTTTTATTTTTATTCTTTTTATACTCCCTCCGTATCTATTTATCTAATCCACTTTCCCTTTTGAGACGTATTATAATAAACGTTTAATTCCTTTTTTTGAAATAAACGTACTCAAAAAGCAGCTACAGTATCACTGCAGTACTGCTATAGTACCACTACAGTACCAAAAACCTCTCACTTTAAATATATTTACCTTAAACTACGTGAAAAAGCATACAAGTCAATTAAATAGATAGGGAGTAGTATACTAGTGAATCTCTAGCTTTCATTTCAATTAATTTAGCCTGGTCAAATCCTGAAGCCTGCTTCGGCTAAGAATGAAATCTCATTGTCCGTACCACCGTACATGAAAACGAACGAAATGAATAAGTAATTTAAGTATCATTAAAGATATTTTTATTTCGATTTATTTCAATGATAAGTCACATCATATCAGATCAAACTAAATCAAACCAATTCAAACAAAATCACAGTAGACTTAAATATATTACATCATAATAGATCAAACTAGACTAGAATAGAATGTTTTAGCCCAACTAAAAAAACTTCCTAATAAATCAGCTCTTATTGTTGTGCACACTTTTTTTCTATCCACCATTACACACGTTTGTGAAAAGGCTATTTTCCCCCACAAGTATAAATGTTTCTAGAGCTCAATGCATGTAATTTAATTTCTCTAATATTTTATGTGAATCAATACTTTTTTGTTTACCCCACTAACGTTTAAACCGAGTATAATTACTCTCTACCGAGATATTGTCAACTAATCATATTTCTACCTAGATACGATGCGATTACCCCACCTTTTATGTTTTTATTTCCTCAAAAAAGAACTTTTTTGTAATGTTTTATTTTGAAAATCAATAACTTAATTATTATTAATAAGGGTAAACAGAAACATAACAATCAAAAGCCGAAGAATTACAATCACAATGTTCAATGCTACACTAGGGTGAGATAAAGAACAAAAAAACCATATAAAAGCTATCATGTTCCCTAACCCAGCCTGCATTTATGTAGACTCGTCCTGCAATTTGACTGCTCTTGCTACTCGAAATAGGTCTGGTTTGACCAGCCACCGAAAAGGATTTGTTAAACTTGCCGGTTTTTCCAGCCACCGGTAAGGAGCCAAGTGCAGAAATTGTTCCGGTTTCACCAGCCACCGGAAAGAAAGTAATCCATTCACTCCCATCTTCCTTGTTCGGCGGTGGTTCAGGAGGAGGGCGATCGGCCTCTATATTGATACAGAAGAAATCTTGATTCAAGATCACTAGAGAAGCCAATACACATCTCTTACTAACACCCATGAACACCCGACCGATGATGGCGGGGATATAAATCTGGCGAGCGAGTCTTCGTCACCGAAAATAATGTCTCTAGACAATGCTAACAAATAGACGTATGCATAGAACTGAATATATTGATCTAACGAAACTTTTTTCATAATTGGGATCAAAAGAAAATTGAACAAAGAGAGGAAGAAGAAGAGGCGGCGACTAGGGTTTCCCCTTCGCCGCTCCTCAGCAAGTAATCAGTTTTTTTGTAATGCTTTTTAAAAGCTTTATTTGTAATGCTTTTTTTTTTTAAAAAAAAGTTTGAACAAGGAGTCGAGGACAGCCGCCCTCTAATTCATAATAACCTTTTGTCTCCATTAAGCTAGAGAAAACCAAATGTGCTAAATTTGTGGAAAGAGTGTTGGTACAACAGTACCTCGCTCAGGCAAAAACGAGCAATATAATCCTTCGACGGTGGTCCATGAGCAGGGGCCGTCAATAACATTTGGGCCCTAAATATTAGGTTACAATTTATTTAAAATAATTATGTTATCATTATATTTTTCTATATAAAATACGCAGTAATACTTTTATATTGTTCTTTTAAATACACTCGGTTTTTGAATATCCAAAACTCAGAACACTTTTCACAATAATGTCTATTAACTTTTTTCATACTTTATTTGAATGCGTTCTCATTGACGTTTTAGCTGAAATTTGGTATGAGTAAATTAGACTTAATGAATAAGATGCTCAAAAAATTTCATCAAAAAATTTCACCGGTACTGCCCCAAATGGCGACGGACGGACAAAACCTTCTATATAAGGGCTTATTTGACCTTTTTTGTTAGTACGTAGGCTTATTTGCCCCCTTTTTTAAAAAAAAGTAATGATTTTTGGTATTATAGCAATATAATTTACTTTATTAAAGTGGCTTTTGGGATGGTTTTCTTTCCAAAATGGAAGTGAGACACTTATTTTGCTAAAGTTTAAAAAAACAAAGTCATATACTTATTTTGATACGGAAAGAGTACCATACAATGATGTTACGTTCATACACCAATTTTGCAATTTGTCCATTACAAAATGGGATAATATATACTCCGTATTTTGTATACGATAATATATTTTGGTAAATTTATATTCACAATATTTGTATGGTAAAAGTTGAATTCTTAAATTACATCTCCCCAATATAATATAATACATTCTATTGTGGACCAGTCTAAGATCAAAGATGGAGATGAAGAGACAAGTATGAAAAACTATGCTACAAGAGGAGGAGATTGGTGGAAGGGTACATTATCTACTGACATTATTATTCTTCTTGCTCCAAACATTGGTCAATGGACAATGTTGAATAAATACCTTTTAGTTAATAGGGTTTGTAATTTCTTTGGTTTCTCTTTAGGATCGTACAACTACTGACGAGACTAAAGGTTGAGGACAAGATTTAAAGCTTAGGTTGGAGCTCCATGCAAGTCTCAAAACAGCACCTCGTTTCCATCTCTTCCTTTTCTCTATCTTTTTTCATTCCTCTTTGAATAAGCTAAGTTGTAAGCTACTGTAATCCTTGCATTTACCCGTGTATCTCACATTAATGGATATTGTTGTCAAGTTCCTCAAGAACATTTACTTTGAAATAGAGGACCTAATTAGGGGGTAGGGTCTTTCATGCTTCATTCAAAGAATAGTATTTAATTGCCACTGGAGTACCAAGAAGTACTACCTCCGTATCACTTTAAGAACCCAGTAGATGACGAGCATTTTGTCACGGTGCGTCAAAATAAATTCAATACTAACACTTATACATAGTATAACGTAGTAGAGTACGTATCCACAGGGAAAGGAATAATTCTCTTTTTAGTAAAACTAGTAAATAATAGGGGTTTTGGGATTGAGTGATTTAATTTAATTAAATACGAAGATGAACGACTTATATGAGATTTAATTCAAAGATAAAAAGGACTTGGCATTGCTACTACTTTCCACTAGTTGATATATTTTAGTTGATCATTGTTATATCTATAACTTATCCCCTCTCGAATACTCAATCGAGGAGTATATCCAATTCATCGAGGGTAGTTATTAACAACGACCGTTCATTAATAACACTTACTATTAGTCAAGTATAGAACACCGCCATATACCGACTTGATAGTAGCATTTAATCTCTTAACTCCTTGATGAAATCAATTGAGATTGATAACCTCAACACAACGGTTTCGGTTTAACCAACAAAATTAATCCCTCTTAAGTTTATTAACCACGACCGTGCATTAATAAACCGAAGTTACTTACTTGTGAAACCATCAACGATTAACAAGCGTATTCGTCGATCGATTCTAGTAATAATTAATATATGAAACAAAACTAGTTGATCCTTTAAGTAATGTTCAAAATATTAATATGAAATATGAATAGGAATTAATTAATATTCAAGGAAGAATATTAAAGATGATAAATCCTACTATAACTAATGTCAAGATGTTAACTAATTGTCATCTTAGCAACACTCCCCAACATTAATATATAGAGGAAGAAAATAAATACTACTATAACTAATGTCGAGATGTTAGCTAATTGTCATCTTAGCAACACTCCCCAACATTAATATATAGATAGATTAAGGCCAGGGAAGAATTACTATTCAAGGGAAGAAGTTAAGAAAATAACCCACAACTTTAATAATCAACAAGCTTCAAGAGCAACGCCAAGAAATGGAAGTTTACCTCCTCTTTTGGAGACTAAACATGTTATAAAAATATAAAAGAAATACTATTCTAAACTGAGCTTAAGAGTATGGAGGAAGGGATTATTAAAAGTGAAGGAAAAGTGTGCTATTTATAGGTGTTTTCAACACCCTAGGGCAGATACCCGACCGGGTAAATGGGCATACCCGATCGGGTAATTGTCAAAATCAGATAATTGCCCACGATTTCGTGTTTTCAGCACGTCAGATTGTCCCCGGTCAAGTCTAGTGGGACCGATCGGGCCATGTAGTTTCCTTGCTAGTTCGGTTTTCACTTCTTACCCGACCGGGTGAAGATTTATACCCGGTCGGGTTTTAGCTCCTGGGCAGTCAAATCTCCTTTTTCTTCACTTCAAAGTTCTCCTTTTCAACACCATAATTCCTAACTCTATTTTACAACTACAAATGATGATTAAAATACAATTACAACTAAAATCACACAAATGTTCACAAACTAAATAAAACGGTAAACAATCCACACAAATCAAACATAAAAACATACCTTTATGCACTACTAAGGGGGTGTTTGGATCTGATTCTCAAAACCGATTCTGCTGCTTCAGGGAGCAGAAGCAGAAGCTGGAGTGTTTGGGTGAAATTCCAGAAGCACTTCTGGAGCTCTAATTTATCTCATAATCAGTTTTTTAGAATTACACTACAAGAAATCACACTTTTTATGACGATTTTTTGTGTGACAATGAGATTTTTGTCACATTTTGTTGTTCAATAGTTACGAAATTCATACTTGTCACTATAAAATGATTTGTTATGACAACATTTTCATTTGTCGTTATAGGTATCATTTCTCGTCACTAATTGTTACAATTAATGATGATAATATAAAATATGTCACTTTAGCTTTAAATTTTTTACCGTGACACCCAATTTTAGGAGGGAAATATTTTAATGACAAATTCAAAATAATTAATGACAATATATGTTGTCAGTTAAATTTTAATTTTTATGACAAAAGCTTATTGTCATTAATATTTTTATAAGACAATGACAATATGATTTTGTCATTAATGCTCCCCTGTCATGACATATACGTAAATGCAACGCACTCTTTTTCTTTCTTTTCTGATTTTCTCACGCACTCACACACACACTCTTTTTCTTCTTTTCTCCCCCTCAAAGTATTCCTCACTCTTTTATTTTCTCCCTTTTCTCCCCCTCAACACATGCAACGCACACCACACACGCACACATTTTATTCAGACCATGGAGATAACACAATTACAAAGGATCGAGATTCAACATGCCTAACTTAGATACTAGGAACTGGAATCTCTTGTCATCCAGTGCCTTAGTAAATATGTCAGCCAGTTGAAACTTAGTGCTAACAAAGTATAAATCAACATCTCCTTTCTCCACATGGTCCTTGATGAAGTGGTAGCGCAGATCGATGTGCTTGGTGCGCGAGTGATGAACGGGGTTGCTGGTTATGGCAATTGCACTCTGGGAGTCACTGTAGATCGGGATGTGATTGAACAAGAAGTCATAGTCTCTGAGCTGGGTCCTCATCCATAGGATTTGTGACAAAAACTAGCAGCCGCAACGTATTCTGCTTCGGCTGTAGAAGTTGACACACAGTTCTGCTTCTTGGAGGACCAACAGACTAGCTTCTCTCCCAGAAATTGAGCACCACCGGATGTACTTTTCCGGTCTAACTTGCAACCTGCAAAATCAGCATCTGAGTATCCGACAAGGTCAAATCCTGTTTCCTTAGGATACCAAAGACCCAAGTTGACTGTTCCTTTGAGATATCTTAGGATTCTCTTTACTGCATTCAGATGTGATTCCTTAGGATTTGCTTGAAAGCGAGCTCACAGACAGGTTGCGAAGACAATATTCGGTCTACTAGATGTCAGGTACAGCAAGGAACCAATGATAGCCCGATAGTTGGTAGCATCGACGGATATCCCGGACGGGTCAGAGTCGAGCTTCTGTGAGGGGGACATAGGGGTTTTCATGGTTGACTTGCTGTCCATCTTGAATCTCTTGAGCATTTCATGGATGTACTTCGACTGGCTGATGAATATTCCATCTGGCATTTCCTTGATCTGTAGCCCTAGAAAGAAGTTCAACTCTCCCATCATACTCATTTCAAACTCAGTGCGCATCAAGTTGCTGAATTCTTCGCAGAAGTTCGGATTTGATGATGCAAATATGATGTCATCCACATAGATTTGTATCAGCATGATGTCACTGTTCTCTCGCTTGATGAAAAGAGTTGGATCTATCTTCCCCTTCGAGTAGCCTAATTGCACAAGAAAGTCAGATAGTGCATCATACCAGGCTCTCGATGCCTGTTTTAGTCCATACAGAGCTTTCTTCAGCTTGTAGACATAATGTGGGCGCTTAGGATCAACAAAGCCTTCTAGTTGTGCCACGAACACTTCTTCTTTTAATTCGCCATTTAGAAACGCAGTCTTCACATCCATTTGATAGACGGTGAAACTTTTATGAGCTGCATACGCAAGGAACAACCTGATTGCTTCAATTCTAGCCACTGGTGCAAATGTTTCATCATAGTCAATTCCTTCTTGTTGATTGTATCCTTTTGCAACCAGTCGGGCTTTGTTCCTTATGATCACACCGTCTTCATCCTTCTTGTTCTTGAAGACCCACTTGGTGCCAATTATTGTTTTCTTTGGGGGCCTTGGCACCAGGGTCCATACATCTAATCTTTCAAATTGATTAATCTCTTCTTGCATTGCGATCACCCAATCAGGATCTGCCAGTGCTTCAGAAACTTTGGTTGGCTCAGATTGGCTGATGAAACAGGAGAAGAGACATTCATTTGCTGTGTCTGTTCTTGTGCACACTCCACGACTCGGATCCCCAATTATTTGATCTACTGGATGTGCCTTCGTCCATTTCCGCTCATGAGTAAGAGGAATTGGAGTTATTGATCGGCTTAAACTTGCAAGTGTACAAGTGCCGATGTAGTAATAAAATCCGGTAAAAATACCGAGTCGAACACGAGGAAACGTTGTTTATATGGTTCAAAGGTTGAGAATGTAATTTGTAAAAGACTTGGTAAAAGAGTAAAGATTTTTGATTTTTTCAAGTGATAATAAAAGCAACCAAGGGTTCGGGATTACTCCTAAACGACTCCTAGCGATTAATGTATATTCTTTCACCAATTCTTATGAGTGGAATGTCGCTAAAGTATTCTAACTCCTGTTACGGCAGCGAGATTGTGATTAATTCTACGTGTGAATCCCGTCACGGTTCACATTCATCTAAAATTAACCCCATTGAAGATTAGGACATTATTACAACCACCATATTCAATTGAGGTATATTTCTATCCACAATTATAATATGTCTAGCCTTTAAGTGCACGGTTTATAACTCAACGTTAATTGCTCAAATAAACCCAACGATATAATCATACGTTGTACACCGTAGTCATACACATTAAAATATAAAGGAAAGATCATAATAATTTGGTTGAGAACATACATCAAACACCTAGAGTGCGTAAAGTTTCATCCCTAACCTTGGCTATGGAAAATTAGCTAGAGCAACTCATAATGAAATTACAAGTATTGAATTGATGAAATACAATGAAATACATAAGAAGATAATACCACAACTCCAAAGCTATGGTGGATAATGGGATCCCCAAGTGTAGAACTTCTCCCAAGACCAAGGGGTTGATCTTGGAGTGCTAAAATGGAAGTAAAGTGTATGGAATATGGAATAATCACTTGAGAGGGCTTCCATATGCTTAAATATTGGGTCTTCAACGGCCATTTTTGGACAAGGAAGCAAGCTCCTTAATGGGGTTTGGAGCTTCTCTCGAATGATTGTGATGACCGTTGCCTGTTTTTAATCAGTGCCAGACGAAAACCGGGCGACATTCGCAAAAGCCGGGCGGCTTTTGCGCGTTTAAAATAGTCTGCCTTCGCTCCAGGGCCCGAAAACCGGCCGCCATTTACAAAAGCCGGGCGGCTTTTGTAATTAAATTCTGAACAATTCCTTCGGCGACCAAAAGTCGGCCGGTGTTCACG